CATGCTGTGTATTTGCAAAATGAATATCCCTCAGATTTAGAATATGTGTAGACAGATGTTTTCTGTGTACTGTGTATGTACAGACTGAATATACAATGTACTGCACATGTACAGACTGATTATCAAATAGGCTGCGTGTTTACCAGCTTACTATATGATACGCATCACGTGTGTGTACTAATAATAACGTGTACACCACCTTGTGTGCAGACTGATTATAAGATATGCTGTGAATGCGCAGACTGAATATCCAGTGCAATGTGTATGACAGCAATCACTTAGCATATGTTTAATATAAAATGGTTAAATGGTTTGCCAGTTTTTATGATTTTGGCCACTGGGACCCTTGACCTTCTTAGTTTATAAACGTCCAATGCATTTTCTGACCACACAGGTAAACCTTTAATGTCACCACGATACCCCAACCTTTGGCAGCTAGAGCTTATCCCTTGTTAAGGGATCGCCTGGGGAAAGCTATCCAAGGACATCCCACAACTAGAGGAACCCCTCGGAAAGCTGAAAGAAAGTAACCGAGCGACAATTGTAAATAATGGCATGAATTTCAGGTAGAGGAAAAATGTATCAATGGGTGAGAACTGGACTATCTGATGTGGGGGTCTGGGCACAATGGAAAGGGACAGTGTGAAACTGATTGCATGAATATGAAAAAGCAGATGACAAGAGCTGCAGATGTCCAGTCTGCAGCATTCGCAAGCCCTCCCCTCTTTCCTTGAAACAGACTTTCATAAACCCATCAGAGGCTTTTCATTGAGAATCCTTTGTGCTGTATCCGCCAGTGAGTGCTGTGATCGCAGCTTTCCAATGCACAGCTCACGTAGAAGCCAGGTGTGTGTCATCACAGCGTGCCTGAGGCTTCTGTGACCTTTTCTCTTTGGAGAAGGGACAAACGCTGTGGTGGCATAGATCTAGATCTTCAGGCCAGTCCTCCTGTCTCCACTACAATGATAACCTGTATTTTATTAGCAGTTCGCCTGCTTGTTGGACCTTTATATCGGCTATTAAAATATCTTCCTTTTTCCTATCATTAAAAATTCTTGCAAACAGTACTAACAATTGTCTAAATTTATGTTTATTGAACTGTGTTTAATAAAATACATTGAGAGTGATTAAAGTGGATTTTTTTCAAGTAGTTAACGTAGTTGTAAACATGTTTGTACTTTGATATTTCAGCAGTTTTGGCTCCTCGATAATTACCACTAAGAGTAGTTATTAAAGTGGCACATTTTGCAACATGTTTTTTTAAGCAGTGGTCTTATGGCCTTTTTCACAATGCATGGCTGTGTGTAAATGTTTTTTTAAATTTTAGTTTTTTTATTATTATTATTATTATTATTATTATTATTATCATTATTATTATTATTATCATTATTATTATTATTAGCATTATTAACATTATTATTATTATTAGTAGTAGTATTATTATCATTAGTATTAATATTATTATTATTATTATCATTATTAACATTATTATTATTAGTAGTAGTATTATTATTATCATTATTATTATTATTATTATTATTATTATTATTATTATTATTATTTATACCTTTCTTTGCTATGCTCATACTCCACTCTTATCTTGATTTAGTTTGACTTAGGGCTCGATTTAATATTTTGGATAAGCTTTTCAAATGATTTCATATTTTGAAAAAAATATTTTTATCTTTTCATATAGCGATTTTTTTAATGTATTCTTATTTTCTGATTATTTAATATTTTGGTAAAAAAAAATATTAAATAATTTGCAAAGCTTATCCAACAATACTAAATTAATGCCTTAAGCCTCGATTTAATAAGCTTTCCAAATGAGTCAATACTGTTTGAAAACTATCCAAATAATGTATCTACACAAAAACCCATATACTTTAATGTTTAATGTTCTTTAGATAAATCATTTGGAAAGTTTAAAATCAATTGGAAAGCGTAATATTTCCAGGCCCTCATTTCTGTATGAAGAACTTATTACACACAGAGTGTATATGTTTAGAGTAGACCTATCTTAATGGATCATCTAATTTTCTATGTTTTATTTAAGCCTTTAAATATTTAATTATGAAAAAAATACAAATAATTATAATTATTCATTAATTGTGGTTATTTCAATTAGATTTTCTCAAGACATAAGGCTGAGCAATAAAATAGATATAATCACTGAGAATGTTTGGAATAACTAAATGCTTCTGAAAAGCAGAAGGGTCTTGAGTAGATCCACCAGACATATGGCCACTGCCATATGACATTTATACAAAATAAACATTGTTGAGAGCTTTAAATGGTGAGGATAGATTTGCAATGTGGCTACTAGAACTTTAGTTAAAACTGTGTAGAAATAGGTCATCTTTGGTTGTACATGGCAGAGAGTTCTAGAATGTTTGGACTATGAACATGAAAGCTCTTCTGCCAAATACCGGAGATGCCAAATATGGTTTGTAAATAAAGTGTCACCTGTAAATCTTAATGGCTAAACTAGAATATAGAAAACATGGATCGGTCGGAATATTTTAATACAGATCTCCATGGGCAAACTGGAATGTATCAGACTCTGATCACTATGAGGGTTATTTGCTAAAGTGAGAATTCACAGTGAATTACATTTTAATTTTTTTAAATTTAACACCAAGGTGGCCAAAGTGACAGCATAGCTGACTTAGATAAATCTTTCTGGTTCGGGTATTTTGATCTTAAATTTGAAATTCACTTTGAAGACTCACTTTAGTGATATTCCTGCCAGTGTTTTCTAATGGAGATTTCAATGGTAGAATAAACTATAATAGACATTATGAATATTTAAGAACCTTTAGTTGTCTGGATTCTGATCTAAGAACAGCTGTGGATGAGAGCAAGCCAAACTTCGAATATACAATATATTAAACTGTTTCATAATGAGTTGGTGTGATACACTCGTTTTGGAACATGGTAGAGACTTAAATACAAGTGTGATGTCTCCCATAACTGTCCAACTGTTGGACCGGATAACAAATTTAATTTTTTTACCTTTAGATGAAAATGATTAACTATGATTATGTATTTATGCATTTTTTTGTAAGGGGTTCTCGAATTAAGTTAGCATTTTGTGTTTATTAGATACACCAACACAATAATTCAGGTTATCTATGCTTTTTCGAAAGATCCTCAGCTCTTATCGTCCCACACTTTGAAGAATTTCCATCACAGTATTATTTATGTGAATTCTGCCAATTTTCCATTGTGTTGATAATAACATGCCGCAACCTTATTAGCTGCCACAAATGGTATTTTAGCTATTGTTAAATTAATAACACACCCAGTTGAGGATTATCTAAGTTTAATATTAAAATGTACTCAAAGAAACAAATCAAAAGCATGTTTCTTCCGCCTTAGACATGATTACTGTGACTGACGTGTTTCAGTAAAGATGTTAAAGGAACACTGTCACTATTTGAAATAATTACTGACTATTACAAATTATACATATTGTAGACTTGGCATATTTTATTTATAATAACTTCATCTTGAAGAAGTTGATAAATGGTCTGGAGTCCTTGGGAGCTTTCCTGCGGATTCCAGAATGTTTTAATTGCAAAGTTAAGTTAAATATATATTACATTCATTCAAGTGTTTCTTTAACAATTCAACATATAATTCAACAAAGAAACACTCAAATGAAAGCTTGCTGATGTCACAGGTATATACTATACGGATTCCTACCTAGGAGCTTGTATGACATTCGCATAAGTATTCTTATGCTAGGGGTTTCCTTTCCCTGTCCTTCCATCTTTCCTTCCTTCCCTCCCTCCTTTCTTCCTACATTCCATCCTTCCCTCCTTCCTTTCTTCCTTTCCTTCCACCCTCCTTCCTTCCCTTTTCCCCTCCTTCCTTCCCTCCCCCCTTTCTTCCTACATTACATCATTCCCTCCTTTCTTCCTTACCTTTGCCCCTTCTTCCTTTCTTCCTTCCTTCCTTCCTTCCCTTCTTCCCTCCCCCTCCTTCCTTCCTTCCTTCCTTCCCTCCTTTCTTCTTACATTCCATCCTTCCCTCCTTCTACCTTCCCTCCTTCCCTTCCTTCCTTGCTTCCTTCCTTGCCTTCTTCCTTCTTTCCTTCCCTTCTTCCTTCTTTCCTTCCCTTTTTCTTTCCTTCCCTTCTTCCTTCCTTCATTCTTTTCCTTTCTTCTCTTCTTCCTTCCTTCCTTCCTTCCTTCCTTCCTTCCTTCTCTTCTTGCTTCTTTCCATTCTTCCTTCCTTCTTTCCTTCCTTCTTTCCTTCTTTCCTTCCTCCTTTTTTTCCTTCCTTCCTTCCTTCCCTCCTTTCTTCTTACATTCCATCCTTGCCTTCTTCTACCTTACCTAATTTCCTTCCTTCCTTCCCTCCTTTCTTCTTACATTCCATCCTTCCCTTCTTCATTCCTTCCTTTTTTTCTAACTTCCTTCTTTCCCTTCTACCTTCATTACCTCCTTTCTTCTTACATTCCATCATTCCCTCCATTCTACTTTCAATCCTTCCTTCCTTCCCTTCTTCTTTCCTTTCCTTCTCCCTTCCTTCTCTTCTTCCTTCTTTCCCTTCTTCCTTCCTTCCCTTCTTCATTCCTTCCCTTTTTGTTACTTCCTTTCTTCCTTCTCTTCTTCCTTCTCTTCCTTCATCCTTCCTTCCCTTCTTCCTTCTATTATTCCCTCCTTTCTTCCTTACCTTCATCCCTTTTTACTTCATTCCCTTCTTCATTCCTTCCTTCCTTTCTTGTTCCTTCCCTTCTTCCTTCCCCCTTTCTTCGTTTTACATTCCATCCTTTCCTCCTTTCTTTCTTCCTTCCTTCCCTTCTTCTTTCCTTCCTTTCTTCATTCCTTCCCTTTTTTCTTCCTTCCTTCCTTCCTTCTCTTCTTCCTTCCGTCATTCCCTCCTTTCTTCCTTACCTTTGTCCCTTCTTACTTCCTTCCCTTCTTCCTTCCTTTCTTCCTGCCTTCCCTCCTTTCTTTTTACATTCCATCATTCCCTCCATTTACTTTTACTCCTTCCTTCCCTTCTTCTTTCCTTCCCTTCTTCCTTCCCTTCTTTCTCCCTTCCTTCCTTCCTTCCTTCCTTCTCCCTTCCTTCTCATCTTCCTTCTCTTCTTCCTTCTTTCCTTTCTTCCTTCCTTCCCTTCTTCCTTCCATTATTCCCTCCTTTCTTCCTTACCTTCATCCCTTCTTACTTCATTCCCTTCTTCCTTCCTTCCTTCCTTCCTTGATTTCTTGTTCCTTCCCTTCTTCCTTCTCTCATTTCTTCTTACATTCCATCCTTTCCTCCTTTCTTCCTTCCTTCCTTCCTTCCTTCCCTCCTTCCTTCTCTTCTTCTTTCCTTCCCTTCTTCCTTCCTTCCTTCCTTCCTTCCCTTTTTTCTTCCTTCCTTTCTTCCTTCTCTTCTTCCTTCCATCATTCCCTCCTTTCTTCCTTAGTTTGGTCCTTCTTCCTTCCTTCCCTTCTTCCTTCCTTCCTTCCCTTCTTCTTTCCTTCCCTTTTCCTTCCTTCCCTTTTTTCTTCCTTCCTTTCTTCCTTCTCTTCTTCCTTCCATCATTCCCTCCTTTCTTCCTTACCTGTGTCCCTTCTTCCTTCCTTCCATCCTTTCCTCCTTTCTTTCTTCCTTCCTTCCTTCCTTCCTTCCTTACCTTCTTCCTTCCTCCCTTCCTTCCTTCCCTTCTTCCTTCATTCCCTCCTTTCTTCTTACATTCCATCATACCCTCCATTCTACTTTCCCTCCTTCATTCCCTTCTTCTTTTCTTCCCTTCTTCCTTCCTTTCCTTCTTTCCTTCCTTCCTTCCTTCCTTCTCCCTTCCTTCCCTTCTTCCTTCTTCCCTTCTTCCCTTCTTCCTTCCTTCTCTTCTTCCTTCTCTTCTTCCTGGTTTCCCTTCTTCCTTCCTTTCCTCCTTTCTTCCATTATTCCCTCATTTCATCCTTACCTTTTTCCCTTCTTACTTCATTCCTTTCTTCCTTCCTTCCTTCCTTCCTTTCTTGTTCCTTCCCTTCTTCCTTCCCTCCTTTCTTCTTCCATTCCACCCTTTCCACCTTTCTTCCTTCCTTCCTTCCTTCCTTCCTTTCTTCCCTTCTTCCTTCCTTCCCTTCTTCCTTCCATCCCTTCTTTCTTTCTTCCTTCTCTTGTTCCTTCCTTCTCTCCTTCCTTCCATCCTTTCTTTCTTTCTTTCTGTCTGTCTTTCTTTCGTGCTAGATATTTAATACTGAAAATGTTCTCAATTTAATCAAATTCTTGGTGCGTCTTTCTTCAATATAAGAAAATTGCACAAGAGTAAATAATATCAGGTTTTCCTTGGGCAACATATCCGACCTCGTACACAATAAATCTTTATGTATAATCTTAAGGAATCTTATAGTAGCACCACAATCTAATGTTTCCATCCTGGTGGTCAGTCTTGTGCCAAAATCACACCCTTCACAAAGCAGAAAGAGAAATCACTCAGAACTGGCTTCAATTTGATATTGTTCAAACTGTGTTCCCTTTCTACTCAGTGTTTTCACTTACTTTAAATAATAAAAAAAGTAAAAAAAAAAAAAAAGCAGTCCTGACTTCAAATGGAAAATGTTGTGCACGAAGGGTGAAGACATCCAAAATGTCGAGTTTTGTTTGTAAAGAAGACGTTTAAAGTTTCAAAGCAGAGATATTTCTGGGTGGAGTTCCAAATCTCTTCATCGTACTCACAGTCACCCACGTGGAAAGATCTCAGGAATCTCCTGTGAGCATGGGAAAAAAAATGTAATCCAGGGCACTTTATTAAATTTGTATTTACTTTAGAACAGCGGTGGTAATAATATTGTATTATTACAATTCCCATGATGCCTTGCCAGCCTTATCTTTTGACCATTTCGTATATATATAGGGAAATCGTGTGCGCAGTTAAGTGCTATTGCTGTAGGATATGGCAGGATCTACACCAGCACCTATTAACCTTTAAATGAAGTAATTCCTACTTACATCAGATAGCAAGATTAAATACAAAGAATTATAATAGAGACATTAGATATATATTTTTTTTTATGAGAAGTCACACAGTCAAAGTATCTCACATTTCTTCCTGAATAAATCTGGGACATCTCATTTCATGTAGCCATTAAAATGGCCCTAATGGTAGCCACGAAGCAGTCACAGGCAGTTAAGGGGTTTTCTATCTGGAATCTAAAGATTTGGGAATTGCAATTTATCCCAGTTAATATGCGCAGGTCCTGAATTCAGGATTCTTATCACAGCCGTACATCTTAACCATCAAACTCCTGGCAATCAACATTAGAGAAAACACGTCTATACATGGGATACAGGTGGGAAGAAAGGAATACAAAGCCAGGCTGTTTGCAGAAGACGTGCTATTAACGCTCACGCAACCATTAATTTCACTGCCGAACCTTCTCGCAGAAGTCAAAATATATGGGGACCAGTCGTACTACAAACTAAATGTAACGAAAACACAAGCCATGGGGATAGGGATACCCAACCAAACATTAATACAATTAAAGGACACATTCCCCCTGGATTGGAGAGATGACCATCACAACTTCCTAGGGTTACAAATACCAAAACTCCCATCACACTTCCTCGAACTAAGCTACGGAAGGTTACTGAAAGAGATCATTGAAACACTGAAAGGTTGGGAAAACAAATATCTGTCCTGGGTGGGAAGATCAACTGCCATCATAATGATGCTGTTACCAACATTCATCACACCTCACTATAGGGCATCACACCTCACTGTATGGCATCACACCTCACTGTATGGCATCACACCTCACTATAGGGCATCACACCTCACTGTATGGCATCACACCTCACTATAGGGCATCACACCTCACTGTATGGCATCACACCTCACTATAGGGCATCACACCTCACTGTATGGCATCACACCTCACTATAGGGCATCACACCTCACTGTATGGCATCACACCTCACTATAGACCTGCAACCTGAATGTGGGCTGCTTTTCGTGACACTCAATGAGTACAAGAGATATTGTTGTTCCACATACTGATCGCTGCAAATACTCTGATATAGAGTTCCTGGAAACAAATCAGCCAAATAACCACTAACATAGAATATGAAACAAACACGAAATATGGCACATCACAACACATGTTAGAAGCCAAACAGTGGTGGGTGGAATATATGGAAAGGAATAAGATAGAGGAGGACAGGGTACCATGAGAAACATCGCAACATTAGGGATCGGGGAGTAGGAGAGATTTGGGGCACCAACTCAAAAATTGGTGTAGAATTAAGAATGCCATTTAATGAACAAACTCCCAGGAGGGTGACAACATATAGAGAGTGTGTAACCCACAACTGCATGTATATTTGTATATAGTTCAGACAACGGAATGCATACACCAGTTAACAATCCCATCGAAGAGGCTATACTTATGCAAAGTTAATGATGGCACTGCATTGCCAAACATGGATGATTGTTCAAATCCCAAATGTATTGATGTCTTACCCATCCCTTTCTTTTTCTGTTCTGTACCCAAATTGAACATCGGAATCTGCAAATTATTGACAATTCCCCCTCCCTTCTCCAATCTGTACCCCAATTATCTGAAAAAGTCAATAAAAAAATGATTGTAAAAACAAAACAAAAAAAGTATGCAATAATTGTATCCAGTCTAATTTCTTTCAGCTATCAAAGAGATTTATAGAATATGACAGATGATGGATTCACTGCAGCTATTTGCTGAGTTAAGAATTTAAACTAGTCTCATAGATGTCATTGTAAATCACTAAAACATTTCTAAAATCTTTGAAATGTATGAGAGATAAGAGATTTAAAGTATTTAGCAGTTCATCTCATGCCAACAATTCCTATTAGATAGACAAAAAGACCAGACTGAAGCACCTCATTTAGTCTACCCTCTATCATTATTTTTCTAGAAACAATGTTATCATCTTTACGTGAAGTTTACCACGGCCAGTTTTGTGCTTTTTTCATTGCTATTTTCCATGAATGTTCAGTGAATGCCATCAATATTTAAAGTACATATACCTTTTAATATTTGGGGTGAACTTTTTAATTGTATGTAACAAATGTCTGCTTTACTTTTCCCTTTTCTTTCTATTTTTCTTGCTCCTCCTACAGTACATACCTTTTCCTAACTGTTTTCCTACCTCCGTTCCTGTCACAACTCTCAATTTGAACCCTTAGATTGTAAGCTCACGCTCTAGCTACGTAAACTGTGTAAAAGCACTTAAATGGCTAAATCCCAGCTCACAGGCATATCCCTCTTTACTCTTCTTAACTTTTAATGTTTTGTCCTGCGTATATAACACTGTCTTTTTCCACAACTATACAGCGCTGCTGAATATGTCGGCCCTTTACAAATGCCAGTAATAATTATAAGTGAAATATTTAAAGTAATAAATGATTTGATAAAAATAAAAACTAACTGTCACTTCTCTTTGCTCAACCACCTGGACCATTCTGCCATCTTTGACATAGATGTCCAACATAGATGTCTAACCCTTAACTGAACAAACTGATATTTGTAACATTTCACTTGTATCTCTAACGCCATTCTTTCAGTAACCCCTTCACTTCACTAATTGTTCCTTCTGACGGATTGTTCTATTCTCTTCCTCTTGATTTTGTCATCTACTCATCCTTTCTTGGCAAACAAATTGATTCCTTTAAATGTCAATGTCATCTGTATGTTGACAGCTCAATCATCTACCTCTCCTCTCTAACTTTTCTCTTTCATTAAACCCCTTACCTCCTGTCTTTTTAATCCCCACCTGAAACCATCTTTAATAATGATAGTGCCTGTGGCAAGCTTCTTTTTTGTGAATATGTGAGGTTTTGGAAAATGGTCGAATTTTGTTGTTGGTTGGCTAAAGAAAAATATAAAAATAAATTAATATAAAAAAATAAAGAAATAATGGTGTAAAGTTTCCCAGGAGGTTTAATCACAGTATAAGTTCAGTGAATCTGAGTAGAAGGATACACGGTGAAAATGTCTAAGCATGTAGAAACAAGGCCTTTTCTGTTTATTCTCTATATAAATCCAGAGAGAGATAGACCTGTCTGATTTGTGATAAAACCAAAGAGTGTAGTGTATATAGGCGCTAAAAATACACAGCAAACAGTGCTTCCAATCTCACCATGAAATTAATCAAAACAAAGACGGTGGATAGCGCACTAGTGTGAAGTGAACTCATGCATAAAACAATTAAAAAGTGATCACACTAATCAAAGTAAGTGAGTAGGTGATATATAACATTATTTATTTATTTATAAAATATTTTACCAGGAAAGATACATTGAGAATTCTCTTGTTTTCAAGTATGTCCTGGGTTTTTCAATTATGTCCTGGGTATGTCCTGGGTTACCATATAATAATATGTCCAAAATATCTCTGAAAGAGAAACTGCTGAAAATAGTGCAATACAGCATGTACTACAATAACTGAAGCAATAAATAACTTAATACACCCCACTCACATTTTTATTAGCCTGTATAAAACTGGTTCAAGTATACCAGCATAGGAGTGATAAAGATGTTCTTGAAATCAGGCTTCTGATGTATAATTATCCTGGAAAGAAAAGGAAACAGCAGGCACCGAGTAAAAGTAGAATTCACATTTATTATTAAAAAACATAAAAGTCCTTACATATCAGTAAGCTTGGTGCAGTAAGCAGAGTCTCTAAGAGTCTGTCCAGAATATCTGCAATTTAGGGATTCGCACAACGCTTTTCGGCTTAGGGCCTTGCTCAGGTGCATACATCACTTCACTGATAATCTTTCCTTTTAAAGGGCAAGTTTTGGTGCCAAAATGATGTCCGTAACACCCCCCTCCTCCACCCCTCCGGGCGCATCGCGTCATTGCTTGACTTCGGACATTTTGGTAGCTCTTTATTCTGGCACCAGAATTCACTTGCAACATGCACTGCCGCGTCTTTTGGTGGGTGTAGAACAGTTTAAAACACAGTGATGCCCCAAAAAGAATGAAAGACAGATGCATGGAGTTGTCACAAAGTTGCTTGGATACCACCACATTAAGTACTGGCTGATGATAACCTAAATTTGAAAAATGGCAACTATGACCTTGATTTCATACTTTTGTACACGTTTTTTAAATGTTCACAGTCTGTTCGTAAAACATTTCAAATGATTTATCCAAAGAAGTCATCGTTAACGTCTATGGACATGTTTGTAGATAAATCATGTGTAAAGTTGTTTTCCAACAGAAGAGCTAATTCAAAAATATTAAATTGAGGCCTCTGTTGGGCGACTAAGAAAATAAAAATACATAGCAAAACGAAAGAAAAAATATATATATCTCAAGAGAAGGCAGACATTTTGTTTATAACGCCTTATAGTAATCCTGATACCAAACATGCCATTACCTGTTACAGTACCATGTGCTAACGCTATTAAATAAGAGTTAGGAAACTGGCTTAAAGATAGCTATTTTTACAGCTAAATATATCTTTATTTAAATCTTTTCTTGCAGGAAGCATTGAAGGCCAATTTATAATTCATATTGCGTTCTTTGGCTTAATACGATCGCTTCATACAGGATCAAATGAGAAAAGGTCAAGAGCATGCGAGGAAGGCAGATTTCACCAACAACTGCAGCAAGGGTTAATTAAATGTGAACAGAACCGATAAGGAATTCATTGACTAGAGAGGTAACTGCCAATGACAAGTATAACACCCCAATATGCAGAGTATAACCTCAGCAATAAAATATGTAACCGGGCCTTAGAGTGGAATCACGACAGAAACAAAGCAACCAAGAATCAGAGCGATGACAAGACAAAGCCAGGTCAGGGATACCAGAATACAGGTCAATATGAAAGCCGGGTCAGTAACAGTTATTCAATATAATATATACGCACTATGGGTCAAGGAGAACCCCAGAAGTGCACTGTTCACTGGAAAATCTAAAGTTTTATAGGCTAGAGGTGTAATTGTTATAAGGACATCTCCACAACTTGAATGGGTGGTAATAATGCCTTAATTTGTCATTTGTGATGTCATGAGTCCAGTGTGCATGTGTGAGCATCATAAAAAGGGGGCATGCACACAGCGGGTGGAATCAGAGTTGCTGTAGGAGAATGGTTATCCTATAGATGGGCACCCCCATGACTGGCTGAAAGGTAACCCGAGAACTCCATACAGCAAAATTGTCAAATGAAATAGATGCCTTTAAAATGGTATAAGGACATCTATTATTAAAAATAATAAAATGTATTTAGTATTTCAATTCCTTTTTTCTTACATAAAAAATATATGTTAATTTTAACATGTTTTGGACTATTCAAAATGAAGAGTCTCTGCAGTATCTGAGAGCCGTGACCATCGAATATCATTTAGCAAAATTTCCCTAAAACATATCTTTGATATTGTTAGTATAGTCTTGGCATCAGGGACAATATTATCTCTCACAGGAAACGCAACTAACAGAAACTCCTAACCGCCTAAACTCCTTTTTCTACCTTAATCTGACATTTTAAATATTGCATGTTTGATCAACTCCTAGAGGGGAATTATATCACTGTTTATTTTTATTTAAAACAATAGGTAGGAATAATTCATATATTTATTTATTATAAAACAAGCAGAAAAGCAGTAGCAGAGTAACAAGCAGCTGCAAAGATAACGACCAAACTGTACTATCACTTTAAAAATAAACCTAACTTCTAACTGAGTCTACGAGGGCCACTGGGGTGTAAGAAGCACCTGCGATCGATTTGCATGTTATGCAATAGATCCTTTGTATGTATTTGTGTTTTCTCTCTCCTTCCTAAATTTCCACCATCTGCAGTGATATCACCGCACTGCGAGTGTACATTTCGAATGCGCCTTGTTGGAGACTGAAGCTGTGTATTCAGGTGCAGGCTCTTGTCTGAGCTCATTGCTCTTAATAATGCCAAGATATTTTCTGAACGGAGATAGTGATACCTCTTCATTTCTTTAACACCTTGGCATTAATCTCTTCCTCGGGGCCACAGCCACAACTGTCAAAAGGGCAAAAGAATGGGATGAATTATCTTTAAAACTTTAGGAGTTTTCTCCTTTTTTAAGACATGGGAAAAGGGAATTACCAAGCCATTTTATATGTTCTTTTCACATTTCTCAAAATTAAAACTCCTAGATCTGGCTACATACAGCTAACCTTTAACTCCTTAATGATGTTAGCTCATGCTATGCCCTCCTGCAAAAGGTGGCCTTTAACGTCATTAGGGCAGCATAACACAATCGATGGGGGGGAGGGAGTCTGTCTGACAACCAAGCCAGTCTCCCTGCAGTCAATCCAGCCTATCCACAACAATGTCATCTTAACAGCATTACAGGCCCCTGGGCCCTGCCTACACAACAACAGAAAAGAAAATGTAAATTATTAATACAATTAAAGGGACACTATAGCCACAAGAACAGCTGCAGCTTATTGTATTTGTTCTGGTGAGTACAGTCAGTCCCTGTAGGCCTTTTGCAGTAAACACTGTCTTTTCAGAGAAAATGCAGTGTTTACATTACAGCTTAGGAATACCTCCACTGGCCACTCCTCATATGACTGCTAGAGGTGCTTCCTGTGGCAGTGCTGCACAGTGTGACTGACATTGTGTCTCCATCTCTGCATGCAGGCACTGAACTTTCCTCATAGAGATTCATTGATTCGTTGTATCTCTATGAGGAGATGCTGATTGGCCAGGGCTGTGTTTGACTTGTGCTGGCTCTGCCCCTGATCTGCCTTCTTGACAGTCTCAGCCAATCCTATGAGGAAGTATTTTGATTGTCTCAGACCCCCACTTCTGATGATGTCAGCTAAGCAGGCAGATAGGGGTCAGAGCCAGCAGCAGCAGACTAGAATAAATGTAAGATTTTACTTCATTTAGGGAGGACAAAGGTAAGATTTAACTTTATTTAGGGAGGACAAGGGGGGGAGGAGTGGATGGGTGGGTGGCAGGGGGGCTAGATTGTGATTTTAATACTATAGGGTCAGGATTACATGTTGGTGTTTTTGACCCCATAGTGTTCATTTAAGTTCATTTAAGTTTATATAAAGTATAATTATGTAATCAGTGTTTAAATAAGAAAAACACATACTGTAAAGCAGAGATTAATGCACACAAATCTTTAGTAGGTGACAGAGGTAAGCAACTGACATCGACAATTGAAAATATTAGAAGAAATTCATCTTAGCTTTACTGCTTCAAAAATTGTGTGTTGATTTTGACCTGCTATGTAAACCTAGTATGTGTGTGTTGTTTTCGCAACAGGAAGATTGCATGTGCAGATACAGAGATTATTAGTCGACCAAAACATTTTAATAAGCGTGGATTGAAGGTTCTAAATAAAACTCCCAGAATAATATACTGAAAAGTTGGCAAGCCTATGGGGCTCCGATGCATGTGGGGCCCCCGAAAACTGCCCAGTGTGCCCATGCGTTAAGACTGCCCTCTCCTCATTATGTAATCCCTGTGACGAAAAACGTCTTTTAACCCCTTTTCTGCCTGGGGGTGCCATTACAATCACATAACTTGGTTCATCGTGATTGACAGGTTGACTGCAATGGGATCTCCTGGGATGTATATACAGTATCTATTAACATAGGCCCAGCAAACCAATCTTGCAAATTTCAATGTGTAAAAACTGAAATGGGAAAGCCCTATATTTGACCCTGTAACTTTCCAAAACCCCTGAAAATGTGTGCATGGACGGGCATCATTGTACTCATAGGACATCAAAGCATACAAATATGTGTGTTTTAGTGCAGTAAAAGCTAACAGTATTGTGGCAGAACCACTGCTTTTTGTATTGTGAGTTTTTCCCTGTGTTTCGTGTATTGTACCCTGCTCCCCATTCAGGAGTGCTCCTACAAAAGGAATGCATTCGTCTCCCGAACGGGGACCACCCCAACATCCAATTTAGAACGCTAGTTATAACGTTTGAGTAGAACGTTCTCACCTTTCGGATTGTTGCGAAACCGCAAGTGAAGCAATTAATGAGTTCTACCCTGAGTGGCAGCCATTTCTTATAGACAAATACCAGCCAGGGGGAGCATTCGTGGATTGTTTCCTGATTCGTTTGTCTCCCGAACAAGGACCACCCTAGTGCCCCTTAGAAAGCTCCCACCAATGAATTAGAATGTTTGCACTGGCAACATAAGTGTGAAACTGCAAGGGAAGTAATTAATTAGTGTTCCCCTGGGTAGCTGCCATTTCATGCAGACAAATGCCAACCAGGGGAAGCATTCGTACCCCGAAAGGAAGCGCTTCCCTTGTAGGTTTCAGTACAGGAATCTCGCGAACGGAGATTGCTCGGAAAATGTGCCAGTGTGAGGTCGTCTCAGGTTGGTGGAGACACTTTTGGGGTACTGGCTGGTTTGGCAGCTTTTCTGTGCCTGGGAGACAAAGGGACATTCTCTCCTTTCCCACGCCTTGGCTCCCAGACAAGGAGACTCATGGGATGAAGACCCCCCTGTCTTCCTGGTCATCCTCCCCGGAGTGGCAGGCTTTCCATATTTGGGAGACAAAGGAACTGTGACCCCCCCAAGCATAGAGGATCCTGGGATAACCCCTGTTTATGTGTGTGGAAGACCCCTTGCATGGAGCTATGCATAAAAGCTGTGTGTGGCAATAAAATTGTGGTGTATCTCCAGAGCTATGTGTCGTCCAGTTACTGGGGGGAAATGGGTCTCCTGATACTCGGTATGGTTCCTAAACGGCTGAAGGAAGCGAAGTAGCGGAGGTAACCAGTCAGGTTACCTGGAGTCCGCTACAAGTATTATGACATTCACTGTGAAAATGTCATGTAGAACTTGGAAAATGACTTTTTCTTAAAGGTATACTATAGTGTTAGGAATACAAAGCATCAGTCCAAATGCATCAGCCATGGTGCAATCTCCTCTAAATTTATTTCCATGTGGTCCTTCCTTATCTCTTCCGCCACAAAATCTGTATCTCCTTCTTTATTTCCTCCACCAGTCTGAGCTTGCTGCTTCGTAGTGAAGTCTGTAGTCTGTCCAGCAGTCGCTGTTCTGTAGCCTCTATCAGTCCTGGAGCTGTTGTTGCTGATATCGTTGTCACATTTCTCCCTATATTGGACGAAAAAGACACAGTCCACTGGCCACCATCTTGAACCTGATCCCTGTAGACGCAACTCCTGCTTCCCCCGGGACGCCGTTTCTGACCACAGGAACACATAAATATGGAGTAAACTGGGATTTCTTAGGCAAGATTCTCTTTAGTGTATACATTTGGATGTCTCTTATTATGGGATCTGGAGGGGGAGATCGGCACCTTCCTGTCATGTTCCACATGTAAATATTTTAAATATGACTAGATATATTCATTAATATTCTAATCCTTTATATGAATAATAATTCATCCTGTTTCCGGTAGCAGTTTGTGACTTTCACCCAAATAATATGTTTCCTGTGTTTAGAGATCATCTTGTGTACGGCAGGTGGGTTGAGGTGGATGTGGTTAGTTAGCCTTATCTATTGGTTGCATTGAAATAACATAGTGACATGCTTCTTATGATTCAGTAAAAATATATGCTTTAAACAAACAGGAGAGGAAAAGTATAATTTTGGCTGACAGCCATTTTTGGCAAGGAATTTTCTTATAAAAAAGCTTTTTCATTTCTCTAAAATACAATGTGGATTTCTCTCCACAACCATACAGCAGAAAGTGGATAATGGTTACTTGGAAGCAGGGGGGTAAATTAATACCCAGCTACGACAGGAGCTAAATAGGTAGCACGAGCTCCAATATGTGTCTGCAAAGTACACTTAGCAGACTGCTTCTAAGTTTATGAATTTAAACATTGTTTCATGAAAATTGTCAGTTAAAGTGACGTAAGTCTTACATTGATGTGATGCTGGGTAAGTGGCTAATATAGCAAAAAAAAATCATTTCTATTCTAAGACTTTTTATTGAAGACTGCAAAACATCAAAGTTGGGAGGACACTAACTACCACAAGGCATTGTATATAATATATATGAAAGTTATTATGTAAATTACTTACACAGAAATATATTGTCATGGCATGTAAAGGCACACGTACTCATGTAATCCAGTGCTCAGTTTCTATCTAAAACTTTTGCTGTAATTACCAAATTTAATCTGCTTGAACCTTATTTTAAAGAACACTCCATGTATTTTAACTACTATAGTACTGTGCCGAAACCACTCCCACTGTAAGTAGTCAAGCCTTGACTTAGGGTCTGCACAGACACCATTCCCTGTCTCCACTATCTAACGCTGGAGAGTAAGAATCTCTCACCTGACACTCTCAGCCAATAACCTAGGGCTTAGTTCCAGAAGCTAATGGAAGCTCCTGCTTTGGAACTTCTGGTTCTGTCGCTAGTAGTGGAGGCAGGGGGGAGGGGGGTACTTGGTGGACCCAAGGTAAGAACAGGCTCAGATTTGTATCACTGTTACTATAGCTGGTGAATATACACAATTTTGGCAGGAAAATGGGATAGGGAAGCAGTGCCTTAGGGGTGTCCTCCAACCCAAATTCAGATAGGCAATAAGAGTTGCCTTCCTTACTTTGTTTGAGTGGTCGTTTATAACAAAAGTTTGGGCTTCTCATACAGAATCATTAGTTGTAATGCTTCTCTATGAGCACATTGTGGCAAAGCATGCGACTTGTGCCCCAATGCTTCTCTAGGAGAAGTAGGCATAATAATTAGCGTTGATCTCCCGGAGGTAGAATCTAAAAAGGAACTTTCCAAAATTAAGCAATACATACTTATGTATTCATAATATTGGAGTGTCCCTTTAACCCCTTAAGGACACATGATTCCCTTTTATTCCAGAAGTTGTATCCTTAAGGGGTTAAATAATAATAATAATAACAATGTATTTAACCAGGAAAGGTATATTCAGATTACTCTGGTTTTCAAGTACATCCTGAGGATGTTACCGTAGCCCAACATCCAGGGGTTGTTACTATTTCCCAATTTAATGGTACTCATTTTATCTACCTCGGTAGGATGAAGGGCTGAGTTAACCCTGCGGGGATTTGAACCTGTGACCCACAGGTTGAACAGATTCTACTGATAATGCATTGGCCCACTATGCGGCTATGTTGAGAAAAATAACTTTTTCACTCCTGAAGATTGCGAATTTTGTTATCTTGCATTCCAAACAAATTAAACCGTGTCAAACCGTGGTATGTTTATCAGATTTCCGCAGTATGTTGATACAATTCACAAACTTTTTGGCCTTTCATAATCTTTGCACAATTCTAACCTTCAACTGAATCATAATATTTAGTCTAATGGGTGGGAAACCGACTCAGCCAGATGGGATTTGGAGTTACTAACTGTTTCCCCCAAGAGATAAAGTAAAGCCGCAGAATGTCAACCATTTCCCAACAGCTGGTTAGGATAATAGCATTCACTCTAATAATCGATGTGACCCTCTGACCTGGATCACTTCCAAATTTATTTTTCTTCAGCTACTATTAATTAGACCAGTCACCGGTTAAGATTCTCCCGAAGGACTGATGTAAAGAAGCCAAGCTAACCGAATGTTCACACAGATTTTTGTTTCTCAACACTTTCTCTGATTAATTGAGAAACAAATGATGGAACTCATACTTTGTAAACGATTACTTCCTTTTGTTACTTAATCCTGTTTTTTACAGAGTGAAAGCTGTTCGAGTGGAACACAGTGAAGCAGAAAAGTGCCAAATAAATTCTTGTGTACATGTTCCCTTAAATGATGCTTTGCATTCCACCAAAGTGACATTTGTATCTGTCCTTAACACTGAACCTCACACAAAGAAAGATAATGAAATGAAAGATTATAGTGAGATAACAATATGACAGATTTTTGTTAAAAGCCATATAACCCCATATTTTGTGTTTCCCAGTGACACAAACCATGATGCGTTTCATAGTCAATATTGTTAATGTACTTTGTCATTTGTTTCGTACCGAACTGCAATTTGACCAAATTTACGCCTATCAGAAATCGCATATTCTGCGCCAAAATTTACCACACAATGCTAAACTTGTTTTTCGAGTGTCCCTAAAATGTTTCTGTCTTTAAAAAACATGAATCAGTAGAACTATGCAGGTCACCATGCAAGTCGATGTGTTAATATTCCAAGCTTTTTTTAATATACATAAAAAACTGAGCACCCACCAACCCCTAAGTGACATCATGACTGATGCAGTGACTAAATGTGCTCTTTATGGAGGCCCAAATCAGTGGTCAGTTTATTGAACTTGTATTAAGCTGTTAGAGAAAGTGACAAATTAACAAATTCAAATTTTGCTTCCTCTTTCCATTATTTCACATTATTTTTGATGCAGATAAGGAACATTTAGATTTGTTTTCCCAATTTATATTGAGTTATCAATCCTCTGACTGCAATGGGTACTGAATCAACAATATACAAACTATCACTTTCTTATCATTGCTCTCCACATCACTCAATGATTCCACTAGACCAACGACGTTGAGACACTCGAGCATCCTTATAGAAAGGAGAAGTCACATCCAAACTCAGTTATAGTGTGAGGGTATTATCGTGCCAGCCACATGATTTTGCATACTATTGAAATCTATTAGCGATTTTAACTAAATTGTTTCAACATTTCTCTTTATTACATGCCACCTCTGATTTCAACTTATTTTTTTTTTAAAAAGAAAACATTTGTTTCAATATTTTTTTTATTTTTTTATTTTATTTTCACTTTCCTGTCTTTTGTCTTTCATTCTTGACTCTCCCACACTTCTCTCCTCATTGCACCTATCTTATGTCTCACTTTTCTCCTTTCATTTTCATGTCCCGTTTCTATATATTTTTGTATTTTCAATTCTTCCTACTGGTCAATTATTCTTTGTGATGGCTATATGCATGGAGTCCACAAGAAATTGTACTAGTCCACCGATAACTGGGTGTTCTAGTCTGGGCCGCCATTTCCCATCCCCAGCTGGATCCTATAGCAACACTGGCGCCTGCACTGTGCACACACCCCTGGTGTCATCACAACATAGAAATACATGTTTTGGAGGCGTGGTTAAAGTAATTACACCCACTGCCAATAAAACATCACAGTTTCAAGTGCCCTATTGCAGTTACTCCATGACCCAATAGCGCATTTATACTATTTAAAATTTTTGTTACTGACTCCGCTATCCTCTAAGCCTTCTGTATTCTATTATCCCTAACCTGGCTTTGTCTTATAGATAATCTGATTTCTGGTTTCACTTGATTTTTGCTAATCCTGATGTTTCTGTCTATCTGTTTTATGTGAGGTCCGGCCACCATTAAGGACTGGTAAAACTTTTTATTACTGAGGTTATACTCTGCGTACTAGAGTTATCATACTTGAAACTACTCTGCATACTGGGGTTATTGCACATGACACTATGATGACGAGTATGGACCAAATAGGACTTTTGAAATTTAAATTGAGTACAAGAAATTACATTTTTTAAATATGTATTTTAAGTTCGTCCAGCTAGCACAATCCAAGTCAAAGTTGTTTTTTATTATTTATTATTTTTTTTTGTCTCCTAAAGAAGAACATTGGTTGAAGAAGCCACACCTTGATAACATATCTGTATGACTCAAAGGAAATGAGAGTGGAGGATGTTTCAGGAGTTGGTGGACCCACCTAGGATTCAAAGTCAAGGCTCAGTTATTCTTGCTGATATTTTGTTGCTACAGAGAGATGACCTAACGAAATGGGCGTAGAAGAGTCTCACCACTAGAATCTATACTTTATTTTTTTATCTACTGAAAACCGTCTGCTACGTAATTTATTTCTTAGGTGTTGACTTTGGTTTGGATTGACAAGGTCACTAGTGATAAGAATGTGACATCAGATCGACACCTTTACAGTATTTTCAACTAGTTGACTGGATACAAAAGACCAAAAGATCATGACGAACTTGGATGCATATAACATGTTCTCACACCCATTTCCCATTCCTCATGGATGCTATTTTTGGAACCTGCAAAAAAATTTCCATTACGCTTTTTCTTTTCAAACAACATTCTGTTCCCTATGTTTTGTGATGGTAAATGGAAACAGGATAATGACAATAGTGAAAATATTGCAAAAC